AAATGTTAAAATGTCATTCCGGGAGATGGAATTGGATTATTTACGTTTTTTTTTTTTAATATTCGTTTCCTTTTTTTTCATATTCTCTCAAACACCACGACTATTCATAAAACCGAACACAGTTGAAAATACTTCAGAGATTTACTGCGGCACAATTTGTAAAATGGTAATAAGAGCAAGAACCATTAGTAGCGTATTTCTGTTACGGCAAGACTAAATTGCGGGGCAGCAATGGGTCTGGCTAGGATGCGAATAAACATACGCTTTGTTCGTGACTTAGTATTTAATTGGCATCGTTGCGCAATTAGATCCTTGACATACGCTGGAAACCGCGTGCTACGTCTACCGACATCTATGAATGTAATTCCGGTCATTGTGAATAATAAACTGTTTTATATACTGCGCAACGCAACGTCTTTTACTGACCTATTAAACACAGAAATCATTTCGCAGCGTGAAAAATACAGCGTATGATTTAATTACGTATACAGCTCCTAGGTACATAGAAAATTGCGTATTAAAATATAGAGTTTATACTTTCCCATACTGTCTCTTGTGCGGAATAAAAATAATTTTTTTATCGCGTGATAAAAATATCATTTTCTGATAGAAAAGTATAATTACGAAACTAATTATCCGAACAGTGCACCATTATATCGATAATTTCTTCAAACTGTTGTCCGGGTGTTCGAAACTGTGATTTTATACATGTATTACAGCATTCTAGTTTCACAATTAGCTATCCAAATATAAATAAGTATTGTATAATTTATCAGTGTAAAATCACAATATTTAACCTGGATAATTTGAAGAAATCATCTGTCCAGAAAATTAGTTTCACACCTGTACATACAAATTTGGGGTCAGAGATGAATAACATCATCTATTTTCAGATGACGCATCTCGTATTGTCTCCGTGGAGGCTGTCACTAGTTTTAACACTGATAGTGACATGCGCAATCATAACGGAATCGTCAATGATTAGAGAGAGGAGGCACATTGAGGACTCTAGTCGATCGGGCAAGGAACACACATCCTACAATCAGGGCACGAGATTGCCGAGCAGCACGTCGCCCAACAAAATCACTACGGAACCCGGAAGAAAAGTGTCTCACCATCTGATCGGGGGTCATCTGAAAGTTGATACAAAACTCCGTGGAGACAGCGAATCGTTGTGGGACGATGGAATTCTCATGTCGGCAGCCGGCAGCGGTAAGGAGGGGAAAGGTAATCGCGGCGGCGACGGTGGTGGTAGCGACGACGAGGACGGGAAAAAAACACTCTCCCAACAGGTCAAGGAGGGCAAGTATGGACTCATACAGAACGAGATTTACAGCAATCGCCCGAAACGACCCGGCATCATCAGCTACCTCGACAATCCTGAAGTGCCCAAGGACACGATCGACAATCTGGGTGGCCTCGACGAGGACGAGATCTGGCTGGCCGAGAATCACGTGCTGGTATTGAGGGGTGGGAAATTTCCTGAACATGCACAGGACGGCGGCCAGCAGCAGAGCGGCGATGGCGAGCAGCCAAAATGGCCGCCTATCGATGATTACAAGGCGCCCAAACGGCAGGTCAAGATACCACCGAGGCCGAAGGTACCGCCACCCTTTCCGGTACAACTCACGGAGGGGGGACCGGTACAGATCATTGGTCCAAATGGCACCGTGGAGGAGATCGGCAACGGCACTCTCGACTACAACACTCTTTACACAAAGGGATTATTACCAGGAGAGGATCCGTTCTTCTCAATTGCTCCGAACGGTACGATATTCACCCCAGATTTCGGTCTCCCAGGAAACTTCTCCGTCGAGGAGAAATCATTTAGGGGTAACAATGATCAGAAGGGAATAAAACCGGAACTTCCTCATCCGCCGCCTGGCGCTCTGGTGCGATATTCGTGCCGCCACCAGGTAACCAGTCGGATTATGATGAGGAAGATCAGTCCATCTACTATCCGCCGCCGTACAGTTTCTATTATCCGCAAGATAATACGACCGCTGTGCCACCGGGCCCCCTGGTGCCCGGCATCATACTGCCTCCGCCGCCGGATTTCTTCTCTGCTCTGGACGACAAGAAAACTACCACGAAGAAGTACACAAAGAGACCGACCACCACATCCTCGCCGGCAACACGTCCAACGTATTTGCCACCGAGGAAGTTTACGACTAAACAGAGCAAGGCCTCGTCTATTCCGCCGAATTTGGTAACCAAGACAAGTACTACTTCATCGACCTCCACGAAGGTATCCTTTGGTCGTACGACGGTAAAGAATGCGACAAACACATTTAAATCTAAGAAGATTACATCTAGCGTGGATGTCACAACGTCGACGCCTGGGAAACCACACACTCTTGAAAATACCGAGATATATACTATCAGCCCCGTAATCGGAAATCAGGTGTCCGAGGCGACGACCCAGCAGAAAGACTGGTCCACTCTCGTCACGAGTAAGATTCCGGTTCTCGCGTACTACCCATCGACCACGCAATCGTCGCTGGAGCGACCGGTGCAAGTCACCCCGGCTTCCATAAAGACCATTATCACTACTAGTCAGCCCGATCGATCTGCTAGCCATGCGTCCTATTACTTCTATGAGGAATCGACCGATGAGAATTCGGACGTCACAAAGAAACCGTCGCCAGTTTATTATGAAAGCACGACGAAATCGCCGTACTACAATGTCGAGACGTTGCGATCTGAGCAGAAGAAGAATTATTATGAGACGATTCCGCCGGTTGAAACCTCAAAAGATTATAAAGTAAAGCTCATTGATAACATCGTAAAGAATTCGCAAACGTACCAGTACACCGACAATTCGGAGACTACGTCAACGAAATTCGACGCCAGCTCGTCTCGGGATCAGAGTCAACGTATGTTAGCCGATCAAGCGCCCATTTACTATCAGCCTGTTCCTGCACGTCCGGTACAGACGTATTACACGACTCCGAAGCCACAAACGTATTATCGACAGACAACGAAGCCTAAACCGATCTATCAGTATAGCTTTCATATAGCGGATTACTCAAAACTCGATAATCAGAGATCGCCGTATCATGGGGAGCAACAGCAGCAACAGCAGCAACAGCAGCAACAAGACTCAGTATACAGCGAGTATCAGGACATCAAGACTGGTAATCGGCAATACGACTACGAAGACATCGATTCCCCGTCGCGACATCAATCACGGAAACAAGTATACAAGATGCAACATCCGGTTTATTCCACGAGCACGTCCTATCCGATCGTAGATACGACACCCAATCCGCAATACGCGTATTTCACGCAGCAGGACGAGAAGCTATTGGACGACGTTACGAAAGAATACTTCACGATCTTTGGTAAGAAATTACCGGACACGAGGATATCGACTACGACTCCGATTTATGGGAAATCGAGCAGCGTCACGGAGAAACCTGATCATAACGCCAATGCCTACGTGCCAAATGTTTACAAAACTGGTCGACCGGTAACTTACAACACGCTCAACGTCAAAGTGCGATATGGAGATCAGTCGCAACGACCTTATTCCCTCAAGGACGACACTCTCGTCAATTACCGAAGGCCCTTGCCGCCGATTAATCCGGACAGCGAATTCGTCGAGATAATTGATCCTAAACATCGGCCGAAGCAGGCGTCGCAGTTACCGAACTATGAGTTGCAAACGGGAAACTATCGATTGCAAAATCAAGGAGTACAACAGCCGACCCCTCGTTACAGGTTGCGAGGCACGATACAGCCGGCTAATAGACACAGCAATAACTTCGTGCCTTTCTCCGAGTCTCGGGAGGAACTGGAGAACGTTCAGGAACCCGTGTCGCTGTTGGATGACATAGAGGTCAACTACAGGAATCCGCGTCCCTCCATAAATCCCGATGCCGAATTTATCGATCCCATCACGGTGCAGGACAATCACTCGAATAACCCGAACGCGTACTTCGCGTATCGACTACCCGGCGATGTTGGCCACTTTTACTTCCTGACGCCGCAGGCGATCACGCAACGACAGGACCAGAATAGTGGATATGTCTATCCGAAGCCTAGAGGGCCGAGATTACGAAGACGGCCGGGATAACGTGAACGCGTGTATCCAACGGCAGTCGCGCGCAATGCCATAATCTCGCGGATGTCCAGCGCGCGAAGCGATCGCGCATCGCCTGCGTGCGTGTCGGCCGCACACATACATACGCGTATTATTAATATATTTATTATACTTGTAAATACGAATTGATTAAGTTAGATAATTATAGCTACGTTGTTTTACGATAAACGCGTAATTTATTATGCAACCTGATTCCCCGTTTTAGAATAATAGATGTGCGATCGTATTCGCGTATGCGATTTGTAGTATGCGCCTCGTTATCGCATATTTGCACATTATCTGTGATTAATGGGATACGTGTACATATAACATAATTACTTATTGTCTATTTTATGTACGCGCTTTGACAGATTGTAGCGTTCTTTCCCGAATCTTTTTTCTAAGTTTTTCTCTATGTGGAGTTGAATAAAACGTAAAATATATATAAAACAACAAATATTAATGCAAGCCTCTCTGTCTGCTGTAAATTTTAAATATTTTATACAGATTAATATAATAGCCTTTCCTAATTCTATTAATTATTTATGTCTTTCTTTTTTAATAAGATAATACCGTATTAAATGTAATTGACATTATTTGTAATTTTTCGTATAAAACATTTTTCAAATATTATTGTATAAATATACCAACAAATATCACATAATATATTTAATTACAATGTGATCAATTTAATTGAAGAATTAATATGTGTTTCTTTAAATAAGTTCTTTAATAACATTTGAAGCCAGTACTTGTGGTACTATGAGCATTCCACCTACACCCACTTAAAAATTAAATTAAATTTAAATTTTGTGACATAATCTGCATGGCATTTAATTGGATTTAGATTAAAAATTTATAAAAGATATACTATGCATGGCTGTTTAAAAAAATTATTTTGATAAATAATACTCACCAGTGTCGATTTCTTGCGTTTGCGCTGGATCTGGCAAAGGATAATCATGTAGCCGCAAATAAACCTCCATTGCACATTTCGCTGCTTTGAAGTAGAATGGATGAGCTCGGAGAACGTCTTCTAGCCTTAGAAGACCCACGTAAGATCGCAACGTCATTTTCCGCATACAATATGTATGAAAATCAAATTGGTCCTCTATAATTTCCGAAAAATGCTGCAAATAATCATGGTATAAGAGATATAACGTATATATTTAATTAAGTTGAATATGCGCGCGCACATATACACATACAATATATATTACAATAATATAATATACTATTACCTACCCTATCAACTTCGTGACATTTTTTCAATGCTTCTCCATATTTTCCAAGACGTTTATATGCGTTGGCCGCTTCTGTTTGAATCCACATGCACTGCATTTCGTTCAAATTTTCCATAGCTAAAACTCCTTCCCTCGTAAATTTCCCACACGTCTCCTCCGCCTCTTTAATAAGATTCGCACGGAGCATGTACTTGGCACATTTAGAGTTAATATATCGGTCAGCCGTGTCTAACCCCTGCGCCTCATCCAGCCACTTATAAGCTTCTTGAACATTACCCGCATGCTATTAACATACGAAATTTATTTCTATTTAGACCACATATATCTTCCACATTATTCTTTAGAATAAATATTTGTGTATTGATTATGCAAGGTGTCAAAGAGTTCACTGCTACAGCAGTTGCTTATCAAGCCAAAAATCCAGGTTTGAATCTCATATATGTAACTTTTCACCTCGCATATATAATACTACGAATTTTGAGTGAAAAAATATTTCATTCAATACAAACAAGTATCCGGAATATAATTAATTCAAAGTTATTATGGATAAGTAATAATAGAATAGCAATATTACGTTATCTCTTGAAGAAATTTTTAAACAGCACAAAATAACAAAAGTTTTAAAAACAAACTTATAATCCTTATAATCCTTTCTCATAAAAATTTCTGTTATAATAAAGTCAGAAAATACTATGGTTCTTCAAAGCTTATAACGCTACAAAGTAATAATACTGCATTTACATATGTAAGATCCTACCTTATAAATGCGTCCTTTGGTAACAAAAAGTTCTATAAGCGTAGGAGTATGATCTATGGCAGCGTCAATCTCAATCAATGCTTTTTCCGTTTGACCGAGGTAATCGTAATGTTGCGCTAGGTAATAATAAGTCCATAATAACGCAGATGCTGGTTCTCGTGGATTATCTTTTTCTTGATCGCTAAAGTGGTCATGAAGTTTTAATGCCTCCTTGTATTGCACAAGTAGAGATGATATGATTTCGACTTTTTCCTTATCAGTGTATAATGAACGAAGATTCACAAATAACGGTGGTACACCTTTATGAAGCCCTGGAAAGAAATAAATCCAATTAAGTACATGACATTATAAAAATATAATTTGAATAAATAATTGCATGTGCAAAGAAATTTTCTTTGTAAAAAACTTACCTTTTCGTAAATATCGATCAACTAAGACTTTAAATTCATCTCCTGTCGCATAATTGAGTTGCAAACGGCGCGGTGCTAATGCTCGAGGAAAGAGTTCTTCGTATCTTTGAAGCATTTGCAACGTTTCGCTTGGTGAAGAGTGTCTTTCAGCCTCTGCTAGCCTAGTGTAATACGTTGTGTTTTCAGGATTAATATCTAATAGCTCCTTGTAAACTTGTTCCGCTTCTGCATACTGTTTCAGTTGAAGTCTTAGTTTACCTAGAGAGAGATTCAAGAAATATTAAAGAAATATTCAAGTACTAAAAGTATAATTTGAATAAATGTATACATGTTACATACTTACCATAAGTTTCTTTGACAGTAACCTTGTCACAAATTTGATCACTATACTTGTCTAAATGTTTTAACGCCTGTTCACATTCTCCTGATTCCTGGATGACCATATTTTGATATAATAACAACTCACTATGTTCATAATCATAACAAATCTGTGGATATAATAAATATTTTTACTATACAATATTTTTATTTTTATATAAAAGATTTTTATATATAAATAACGTACCATTGGAGAATTTCGAAAAGTATCTAAAATTTTCAATGCCATTTCATAATCTCTCAACAAATGATATGAAATAGCAAATCCAATCCAAGAAGCTCGTTGAGTAGGACGTAACATAAACAACTGATATCTGGTATCCTATGAACAATCAATATATATTCGTAAATGTATAATTAAAATATAATGTAGCTTTAGAATATGATGCATATGTGTGACAATGTAAGAACTTGCAATAAAAGAGATGAATGCTAAATATTTACCTTATAACCTTCCAGATCCCGCATCTGGATTTGTAGCAATGACAAATCTCTAAGGATTTGAATATTATCTTTATCCCATTTGAGGGCATTTCTGTAACACTTGATAGCCTCATCGTACTTCTTGTCAGAACGTTGCAGAAGACCGTAAACATGCCAGCAAACATGGGACTGTAAGTCATTCCTGAGACCACGACGCACATGATCGTAGGCTTCTTCCTTACGGCCTAAACAGTTGAGAGTGAGACCCTTCATCGCCAAGGTCTCCCCATGTTCACTAAACTTGGGATTTGACAGGATCTGTTTTGCAAACTTCAGCCCATTTTTGTATTGTTTGTGTTCGTAGCATCTCTGTAAGAGAACATATATCATGAAGATTGTAGGCATTTATAGGGTTAGACAGGAGGAGGGGGTTCGGTGGGTTTTGTCTTGTATTCGCGCGAGGATCGACGGTACCGATCGTCGCAGAATGTCGCCGAGCGAGACAGGTTTTCATGTATAACATCAAACAAGCGACTGCGTCACGCGGTCGTCAGTGACCTTTTGCCGTTTTACTCCCCCGAGGAAATGCTTTATCATTAGAGCACGGCAAATGCACTCTGCTTGCCGGAGAGTGAGGTCCAAAACAGAGTATTTTGATCAGTCGTTACTCACCAGGATCCGCTTGAACAAGGCATTTTCTTTGGGTGGCAACGGGTTGCTGGAGGGCATTTTTGTATAACTACAAAAATAGGGGGCCTTTTCCACCCGGTAAACTCAATTTTTACCACAAAACCTCGTGGCCACAAACGAAGAAGTCGATCCTCGATCACGTGATCATCCGCGACAATGCTGTTCCGCCGGAAGTGTTGCTGCCACGGTGCCGCACGGTTTAATTGGCGATAACGCACTAATCGATTCTCAATCGAGTTCGAGAAGATTGTTTCCTTCAAGTGCATATCCGTGTATCAATAAATACACATTAAAAATAAATACTTTCCGGGCTCTGATTATTATTTCGTTTAAACGTAATAATAGAACGTAATAATAGTTCTATAAGAATCCACTAAAAGTTCACTAAAGATTTATTATTAGGTCCGATTTGACAATATATATATTACCTAAAGATTAAAGGTAATCAAGAAATTCATGAATGAATTTCACTAATGAATCTGTTGGTAACCTTTAATCTTTTAACCATATATTGTGAAAATGAATTTAAAGCTAGTCACACACATTTTCCGTTAACAGTAACAGTAAGATTTTCAACCAATCGGATTGCTCGATTGTTACAGTTACGGTTACGGACGACCGAATCGAGCAACGCAATTGGTCGAAAACCTACGTTACGTTTACGGTTACTGTTACGAAAATTGTGTGTGACTAACTTTAACATCACTTTACGAAACGCCGATTAGCTTAATCGTCCGATTAGTCCATTGGAATTGAATCTGCCAATTGCATCTGCCGTTAAACGAAATGATAAATGCAATTGGCCAATTCCAATGGATTAATCAGCGTAATTCGTAAATTTCGCTTCAGTTATGTATTCTTTTAGTTCATCCAATCAGAATTTTAAATCTAGAAGAATACATACGCTTATTCCACTGTGTGAATGCGCCCATTGGTATATAATAATGGCTATACGATGAGTAATCAAATGAAGGAACCAATGCTGCGTTTAGCGGACTCACAATTAAATGACCACTCAGATTTAAAATGCTGATTGGATGATCTAAAAGAATACACTAATAACAGCGAGCGCTCATTCAACTATGAGTCCGCTGATCGTAATCGAATACACCCGCGCAATTTGAACACGAAATAATCACATATGATCATATGTACCTAAAATGTTTGAAAAAAATAATATAAAAATAGTTGGAATAATACAAAAATAATATAAAAATAATGTAAAAATATTTGGAATAATACAAATGTGCAAAAATGCCTTTGGAATGAGAAAATTATTTCTTTGATTTTAATTATTTTATTTAAAAATAATAATACAAGTGCTAGTACAAGTGTTAGAGTTGCTATTTCTAATTGCTTGCTGTCAATGGACAAAACATGAATCAGTAGATAATGTACTATCAGATTATCAACTTTTAATGTAGCATAGATACGAATATTTCTAATTACAAAGTATTATTACAATTATAATAATTCATTGCATTATATAATATTTTGTGATTTTATAATAAAGTTGAGTTATAGACCTAGAATATAATTCAAGTCTGAAATAATTTGCGATTATTAATACTAAATTCTTGCTCGATTCATTTCTCTATTTATTACAATACTAGACATTTTTATTCAGATAAAATTGAAATCTTGTGAAAAAATACATTAATTTTGAAAATATCGAAGTGTAAACTCTGAAGACTATAAAAATTAACATGAAATATTACAATTGCTTAAGGATACATTCTCGTGTTTTCAAAAAATCAATTTTTTTATTGCATATTTCGATTATATATACTATATTTCAACAATACACTGTCCAAATTTCAGAAAGAAATTCAGAGAATTAACAATTCTACAGCAAAAAGTCTATTTGTTTTCAAAATTTCAAAAAGAAATTCGAGGAATTAACGACACTAGAGCAAAAAGTTCTTTTTTTACAGTCAAATGTTTGAGGAAGTTGAAGGCTTATTTTATGGATTTCAGGAATCGCTGATTAATTTAAATAAATGGTAAATAATTTAATTATTATTTTATTTTTAAAAAATCTGTAAAAAAACTTTAAACACATTTTTTTCAAAATGTTATTTTTTTTGACTGATACGATTTCGGAAAAACTGACCGATCGATTTTAACAATTCTTAATGGCGTTGTATTCGTATATCGCGTAAACTGATAGAATAAACCGATTTTACTAAAAATCAAATTTTTTATCCAACTTTTTTGAGTGAAAAAAAAGCGTTTTTTCGCATCACTTTCTAAAAACACTTGTCAACTCGCAAATTTTCAATATTTTTCAATAATTCTGGTTTATGCGATAGCCACGTAAATAAACTTTAAGAAAAAAATTTTGTTTTTTGATTTCTGGCTATTGATTCTCGAGATATCGTGTCAACCGTTTAGTCATCTCATTTTTTCACAACTTTGTCAACACTGCGCCAATTCCAAAAAAGGTCTTATTTTTAATAAGGTTACACGAGAATGTATATCTTTAAAATATATTAATAATCCCTTAAAATATATTAATCATCGCATAATTTATCAATTCTAATCATACACCGAATCTTAACAATTATTTGATAACTTTATAAATACTTAACAGCTATGCACAGATGCTTTGACATCAATTATTATTTCATATTATTTGATATCGATTATTGTCCAATTTAACTGTTCAATTCTGACTGTTTTGATTCAAATAATGATCTAATATATGTATATACATATTTCATTGAAAATTGTAATATTTTTGTTGTTATAATTGGAGATATCTTTTTGTTAGTATGTATGTATAGCCAGTCATAGAAAGGTTGCAACACTTTTTTCAATAGGTTTTGAAATGTAACTTGCTCATCAAGCAATTGATTCTTATGAATCCACAAATAAGAATCAATTAGTAAGTAGTTAGTAGGTAGACTGTAGTCTTAGTAAGTAGACTGCATTTCGAAAGATTCCCCATTCTTATTGATGGTTGAGATCATGGACTATTGCACATACGTGATGTTGATATACTTTTACTATGTCTTTTTACATCATGATACTGCTTAGTGTAGTAAGTATATGTAGAACGTCACATGGTCGAACGTCATATTGTTCTGACCGTATTTCTATTTCGCCAAAGGAACGGGGGCTATTTTTGTGTGAAGAAGAAGTCATATAGTTGGCATTTTTCTTACAAAGTGTCCAATTTCGAAAGTGTGTTCGTGTGTTTCTCAATTTTGCAACAATCGATTCTACTCTCGTTATCAAGTATATTGCGAATTATTAGAGAAATAATAACATTGATGTGTTCGCTCGTTTCTCTTCTTCAATGTCTCTTTCGCATTGTGTGCTCTACATAAGCTCTAGTCTTCGATTGTACTTGATGCAATGATATTTCTTTATATTTGATTTTTTTTTATTTCTAAAACAAAATAAAAAAAATCTTACATATATAAACTCGAAATATAAAATAAAGGAATAAAACAGACTTTATACTAACTCTGTATAGTATAATCTCATACATCAGATTGTCCTGCAGATCAGATAACACTAATAATGTAAGTATTCGTTTGAATAAGATAATCAATGTTCTGGATAATTTATTCTGGAAATAAATCTTGGATATAAATATTCTGGAAATATATCTTCTAAATTAACATCTAAAGACGAATCTTCTGAAGATGAATCTTCTGAAGACGAATCTTCTGAAGACGAATCTTCTGAAGACGAATCTTCTAAAGACGAATCTTCTGAAGACGAATCTTCTAAAGACGAATCCGAATCTTCTAAAGACGAATCT